CGTATGAATGAAATAGTGAGAATGAGTAATTACTCCATCACCTCATGGCTGTTTCAGATATTTAACTGAAGTTATTTTCAATTTAGTTTATTCATAAATTAGTATTTATTTAGAAAGGAAAATCACGTATTTAAAAATTCTCATGGCTGTTTAAGATATTTAATTGAACTTATTTTCAATTTAGTTTATTCATAAATTAGTATTTATTTAGAAACAAGAATCACGTATTTAAAAATTAATAAGGGATAATGTGACTATATTTTAAGAGTATACAGACATACAGTTCCAATTTTTGTTCACATCAAATATCATGAGGTGGAGAGGGTTGGGCACATCTTGGGATGAACTCCACAATCATTTTTCCGAGAAGAAAATTTGTGAATAGAGAGAACATTTATTAAGATTTGGTATATAAATCTCTTTATTTTAGTTCATTTAAAGTTTCATATGACCATAATTGTGCGTGTTTAAGATTAGTAAGAACTTTATCTTTTAAATTTAAAAGCTAATTTTATTATTTAGCATTGTTTAATTACTACGGATTATGGAGTAATAAATAATTAACGCGTGCACAATCAAAACACTCCATTTGTCCAAGAAAATTTAATCACTTTCTTCTTTTTTAAATGTTTAAAAATGTATTTTTCATTTAAAAAAATTCTAATTATAAACTCTTTATTTTTCACTCCATATTTATCAAAATTTTATGAATCAAGCAAGTAAAAATTTGGAGTAATGAAAATGATAATTTTCTCATTTGGTTTTTCCGTTTTTGGGATAAAAAGTTGTTGAACTGTTGGAAATGTGCTGTGACAAAGCATATATATATCATCGGACACTCCAATGCTCTCATTAATTTTTTTTTTTTGAGAAACTCTCATTAAATTAAATACAGGGAAGAGAACAGGGCTGCTCCTCCCTCGCCGCCACCGCCTCCGCCACATCTCCTCCTCTTCTCTCCGCCGTCTGCGGCAGCCCTCCTGAATCGGACCGAAGATGCTTTCGATTCGGTTTGCTATCAGGCGGCCATTGCCGTCTTCTCTGGACGTGCTGCACCCGCACGCGGTCAATTATTGCTCCGTCTCCGCCGCCTCCTCAGCTCGCTCCTCCTCCGCCGCTGCGGCGGAAGCATATAGATGCATCAGGGAAGGCCCCAGGAACGACTGGACCAGGCCTCAAATCAAGTCCATTTACGACTCTCCGCTTCTCGATCTCCTCTTCCATGGCGTCAGTTCCTTCCCTCTTTCTTCTCCGCGTTCCTATGTGCATTGGTTCGTTTTCGATTTAAATTTCTTGAAATTGTCTCTGTGTTTGAGCAGGCTCAAGTTCATAGGCATGCCCACAACTTTCGGGAGGTGCAGCAGTGCACTCTGCTGTCTATAAAGACTGGAGGTTGCAGCGAAGACTGCTCTTACTGCCCTCAATCTTCCAGGTACAGCACGGGCGTGAAAGCTGAGAAACTTATGGGCAAGGACTCCGTCCTGGTTGCAGCACAGAAGGTGCATTCTTTGTTTTGAAACCTCTGCAAGTCTTGATCTTTTTCGTCATAGCTTCAGCCATCTTATAGTTGATTTATGTTACAATTGTGAATGGATTTTTACTCTTACCCTACCGTGATTGCCATTAGAATGGGCAAGTGTCATCGTTTATTGATATGATTTGCCCGAAATGTGAAGTTTTGACAGTTGAAATGAGACGAGTCAATGTTTTGATACTATGATATGGATCAACTTTTGGAATGGTGTGGGGCATTCTTATTAGTTCTCAGTAGAAAACTACATGGGATGAGACTTCTGCAATGTGTCTTCTGGCTGCTTTATAGTTAAGTCCTCTTTTTGATGCATTGACAGGCAAAAGAGGCTGGTAGCACTCGTTTTTGTATGGGTGCTGCTTGGAGAGATACCATAGGGAGGAAGACCAACTTCAACCAGATCCTTGACTATGTGAAACAAATCAGGTAATGGTTTTGCCCTACAAATAAGTGTATAATGTAGTACCCCGCATTGAAGTTGCTTGAAAGTCATGTTTCTCCTTTAATTACCCACATACACAAATAAACAGAGGAAAGAAAGACGGTCTTCTGGGTAAGTCTGGAAGAAATGGCTTTCAAATAGAACTCTCTTTTCAGTTCTTTGATGTGGATTGCACCGAGTTTTGTTGGTCAGATTGATTGGTTAGAGCCCCAGACCCCGGATCATAACTTCAATCAAGTTTACTCGGTATCTGTTTTTTTTGGATGAGATTGATTGGTTATAGCCCCAGACTCCAAATCATAGATTCTTTGAGCATCAATTTAGTGAAAGGACATTTGTTTGGATTTGATATTAAATTATAAATAATATATTTGGGTTGTTATGTAAAAACATACAAGAAAGAGGAAATAAATACTGTACATTTGAATTTATTGCTTAACAATTACTACTTAACAACTGTAGATGCCCCCGTGATGTAAAATTATGGCTGGTTTGATGCTCTGCTAGAGTGCTAGTTACTAGTTATTCTACTCCGTATTTTTTATTCAGAGTTTCAGACCATTCATAATGAAAGCCATGGTGATTTTTTAGGTTACTGTCACTAATTTTGGGTGCTCATTTTGGAATTACAACTAACAACTTATGGGTGTGTTACTAGTCATCTCAATTACACTAACAAACGATGTGACACATTTATTCACTCAATAAATTTTATAAACTTATCAGGAGCATGGGAATGGAGGTATGCTGCACCTTAGGAATGCTGGAGAAGCAACAAGCTTTGGAGCTCAAGGAGGCTGGTCTCACGGCATATAATCATAATCTTGACACTTCTAGAGAGTATTACCCAAACATTATAACCACAAGAACTTATGATGACCGGCTAGAAACTCTAAAGAATGTTCGTGAAGCTGGAATAAGTGTCTGCTCAGGTAACACTGAATTTTAAATATCGGGCTGTGAGCTTACATATTGAGAGTTTGAAACCCAAACTCTTGCTGTTTTGATGTATGCTCGTGTTTGTTACTATATATTATTGTATCGCCACATACACTTGTGTGCATCTACACCCCACAGTACACTTGTGTGGTGTCTCTGTGTTGGTACCATTTTTGGTGTTCATATTTGTATTTTACCTGATATTTCCCATTGTAATAGCTCTAATATCCTCTCATACATCGGTTGCACCAATTTTAGATATTGGACATCACTTCCATTTTGATGTATCAAATTGGCTGCCTGAATGGCGACTCAAGCTATAATTTAGTAAATTCACCACAGGGGAAAATGGGCATCTGGCTTTTTTAAACAATCCACTTCCTTTTTATGATATATTATTCATTTGGACTATTCTAATGTGTTATTTTTTGTGAAAATCTAAAATATACTTTTATTTGCTGCAACCAGGTGGCATTATAGGTCTTGGAGAGGCCGATGATGACCGAATTGGTTTATTGCATACATTGGCAACACTTCCCACACACCCTGAGAGTGTACCCATTAATGCACTAGTTGCAGTAAAAGGAACACCACTTGAAGACCAGAAGGTAATCATCATTTCTGAGGGTCGTGCTGCTGATCTATTATTGATTTTTAAACATAATACTCCGTAATATGCCAGAAACTTTCTCACTTCCTGCTGCACTGGAAAGTACTCTTTAGCATGTTAGTATGCTATGATAATGTTCTGTGAGAACTACTTTTAAGATTTGTCAATTTGAAATGTCATATAACATTTCAATCACCTCTTGTTTGCTTCTAAAAGCATTCTACTAATTACATCAAAACTAAACCTTCCAAATAAAAAACTTCCCTCCAAATGACCCTTAGCTGTGAGTCTGTGACCATGAATATTAAAAGTATTAAGATGATTTCAAGAGTTTCTTAACACGCATCATCTTTAAATTCACACTTTCAGCCTGTGGAGATATGGGATATGATTAGGATGATTGCAACTGCCCGCATTATAATGCCAAAAGCAATGGTCAGGCTTTCAGCTGGCAGAGTTCGGTTCTCTATGCCCGAACAAACTCTGTGTTTTCTTGCGGGCGCAAATTCAATCTTCACCGGAGAGAAATTGCTGACGACCCCCAATAACGATTATGATGCAGACCAACTCATGTTTAAGATGCTTGGGCTGATTCCAAAACCCCCTGTATTTTCGGCAAAGGATTCTGATGCAGAAAACATTGAAGAAGATGCACTTTCGAGTTCAGGTTGAGATTACTGCAGGCACATGTAAGGATTATTCTTTGAAAAAAAATCAATAATGTTGAATCTGCATTGAATCCGTTGATGCATATTGTTTTTCGAAATCTAAATATCTTGTACAAGTAATATTTATTTACAGTGAGAATCATTTTTAGCCATGGAGTAGATTTGTCTCACTCATATAGTGACTTACAACATTAATTTCTCTATCCCTTAAACAACTTCTATCCACACTTTTTACTTTTCAACAACTTTCTTAAGATCTGCTAAGTTAAACGGTTAAACCAAGACTATTATTTAGGGACAGAGAGAGTAATAAAGAGAAAATGAAATATTTTTTTGTTGGAAAACACTTTTTGGTCTCACATGTGGTTGTGGAAAAGGAAGGGCCAAAAATTAATGTCATCAGGTGGTAGGGTTGTTATAACTTTAGCCACTATTATTTCATTTAGTACAATCAAACACGGTTGTTTAAAGAAAAAGTTTCATGCTTTTCACTTTTTCAAGCTATTTCACATTAATCAAATGCTCCCTCTGTCCCAATAAACATTACTGTTTAACTTTCACAAAATTTAAGAAAAATACATGGTTAAAATTTGTTTAAACTAGGAGCTACATGTTTATTACTCCGTATTAATGAAAAAAAGATATAAAGTAACTGTGAAGTGTTTTTCAGAATGAGATTCTTTTTTGACACTATTTATGTAATGCTAAATAGTTATTTCAACCCTTTAAGTCTCTCAACATGTACACTATATAATAAGTGCACTTCACACACACACACACAGTCACACTTCAAGTGTGCCACCCCCCCCTCCCCGCTCCCGCCCCCAGTGCATATACTAGTACACAACACAAACATTACCTATACTTGTACATACATGTAGAATATGTATTGTATAATCACTCAACACTTGTGATGATCTCTCTTCTGGCTGCTGCTGCTGCAGCATAATCTGACAGTGCACACAGTTGCCTGTGCCCAGTATTTAAGCCTTGCTTTCACCTCTTCTGGATCATCCCCTATGCACAGACAAAATGCACACAGACCTTACATCTACTCTACCCGGCTCCGAGGAGTAAAAACTAAAAAGACAGATACGAGTATATAAAGAAGTGCTAAGAATAAGATATCTAGAGCTTATGATCCCTAGGCTCCTTTTTTGTGTGTCAAATTTCACTAGGTTTGTATCAGAGTTTATTAAGACTCTTGGGAAAAAGTAGGTAGTATATGAGGGAGGGAGGGACAAAATAGTAATTACCAGGGCTAGAGATCTTCCAATTGGGAAGAGAGTGTGAAGTAGTGAGGGGGTTGTGCTGGTACTTTTGGCTCATGGAGTAGCAAAGCTCAAGGGCAGGCAAGGTGTTGCACAGCTCTGGGATTTCTTCATAATTGAACCCAAACCCCAGATCCAAACACCCCTTTAGCTCCTCCAGATCATCATCTGTCAAGCTCTTTGTTCTCCCAATCTCATCTTCTTCACCTCTTTCTTCTGCTCTCTTCACATACCCTTCTTCAACAAACACCTCTTTCTTCTTCTTCTTCATCTTTTTCCTATTCTTTTCCTCCATTAAATTCTTCACCAACTGTGACTCATACCTTGCTGGAACTGGAGTTTCCCGTGACCCTGAAGAAGAGGAGGAGGAGAAGTTATAGACAGTATCAGATGTTGATCTTGATTCTGTTTTTTCTTTGGGCCACCTTTCCATTTTTTCCCACTTGCTTTGCTCCCCTCCCTCTCCTTTTCTTGTTGTTGTGTCTATATATATATATATATAATCCTTCCAAAAAAGATCGTTCCCTTTGATCTTTTCGACTCAAACTGAATTTTTTATCATTAATTAAATAAAAATTACATTGCATGTTAGTAAAAAGATTCTTTTGTTACATTATCTACTTTGAAAAATTATTTTATTGTATCGCCATGCAATGCAATTTTTATGAAACTAATGATTAAAATTTATCCAATTTGATACAAAAAAACTTTCTTTCCAAAAAGGAGGTTTCACACTGAAACCATCACATTTAATAAAAAGGTGATAATGGCTGCAATTCATGCCGATGATTGAATAATAATACGAGTATGAACCATACAATTGCTCATGTAAAATGAAAATAGTCCTGTAATAATGTTTCATAATGTCTTTCTTATTCGTTCCAAAATAAAGTTTCAAATTTTCATAATAGGCAAACTTTGTATATTTTCAAATTATATAGATATAGATATATATATATATATATATATATATATATATATATATATATATATATATATAGTAGGCCGGCAGGAGGTTATGTGAGAGGGGAGAAGTTAGGGGGGATTGATTCCCCAAAGAATATGCCATTGCAATACACATTTTGGTTGAAGGAAAATCAATAGCATAATTACAGCATCAGCAATTGCCAAATGCATTTTTATTTAATGACATCATTCATGAATGATGATAGCCGAGTTAGTCCGCATAATACTTAGACAAGTTCTTTTGAGTTTAATTTATAGAGTAATGCTAGGGGTACACCAAAAGGTGTACCTTTCTTTTCTCCACACATTTTTATTTGCTTTTTATTTACATATTTTTTTTGAATTTTTTTGCCTTTTTAGTGGACAAGGAGGGGGTGGAGATATTTGGGGTACACCTTTGGTGTACCCAAAGGTGTACCCCTAGCATTTTTCTAATTTATACCCTCACGAAACCTTTCTTCTTTATTTTTGCGTCGGTTCTAAAAATGTTTTTTTTCCAATTTCTATTAAAAAGTTACTTTTACCACTACTAATTATTAACCTATCTATCACATCACATTTTTTCATTATTTATCACATCACATCATACTTCTACCCATTACTGCATTACATCCAAGGATATTTTAGGAAAGTCAACACTAAAATACACTCCTCTTAAGTTCTTTAAAAATCAAACCAAAAACGTTTCATGGGCGGAGGGAGTATAAAACTTAGAGTAAAACTAAAAATGAGCTTTTATATTTTAAAAATTATACTTCTTCTGTCTCATAAAATATTTCAACTTTCTCATCTCACCCGTCCCATATACTCCGTAATATTTAATTTCTCTAAAATGGACTAAAATACCCTCTTTTATCCCGACTTTCCCACATGTCATCCGTCACATCTCATTTTACTTTTTTATTTTTTAGCTTTCCATTATTCTTAACTATTCTTTGATATAAAATATTACTTTTGAAAAGAAACCTTAAAGGCATTTGTGAAAAATCGAACACCAAAATATATCTCTCTTAAATAATTCAAAAGTCAAAATAGAAAAAATTTAATGGGGCGGGGGGAGTACAATATTCATTAGTAAAACAAGGTATGACATTGTTTTAGTAGTGACATTTGGGAAAGAAAGAGTAGTTCAATATTTATCTCACACGGCATGAATAGTAAACATAATTTTTTAGGTGAAAGAAATATAGTAATTTCTCCAGTCTAAAGTATTTGTATAATTTGATTTTTTTGAGTCAAACTCGACAAATTTTAATCAACAATTGCATTAAATTTGAATCGGATATTAATACTACAACAACCTAGCTTCATTGCATGAGTAAGATTTCTCTTACATAAAAGTCGGGAGATTATTTCTAAGAGACCCCCAAATCACAAAATATTGAATAATAATACAAACACAGAAGCAATATATGATATGAGGGCACTAGAGAGAAGCAATATTCTATTCAATTGATGATTAAAGTTGACAATTGGTGGTGTAAAATTGTGCAACGCACACTCCTTACAATTGGGACACCTATGGTGACCGTTTACAAAATTGGCGGTTTTTACCTCCCCAACTCCCGGTAAACCTACTACATCGCCCCGTTCCTAACCCACCCCTACCCCCTTCAGTTGCACTATCCAAATTTATTTGACTTTGTAGTAAAAAATTTGACTCCAAAGTCTAGCGAGTACTCCCTCCATCCTAATTTATATTACCTATTTTAGTTTACGATGTTTGATTGAAATTATTTTCAAATCATTTTATATGAAAAATGGTGTATAATTAAAAAAATATAAATTACATATTAAAATACTACTACATCAAAAAATCTACAAAACTAGTGGTGATATGACTATTTTATTTTATCAAATGACTACCAAGAAAAATAAAGAAATTAAGTGAAGTTTGACGATGTGAATTGTAAACATGCAACTTTGGGACGGAGGGAGTAGCATATTAAGCTTATTGGGTTGAGTTTAGATTAGATTATCATTATGAGATAAACATAGACTCTAATGACATGTAGTTAACGGTTCTATTGTCTCACCATATATGTACAATGTATCTAATACGAGTTCAAAAATTGTCCATAAATCTATTAACATATGAACACTTTGGGTTCTTAATTAGGCATCCATAGAATATGACAATGGCTATTAATTGAGTGGCTCTATCATTCCATTCCCGAGAGTTCCCTCAAACTCAGTCGAACAGTTACTGAGAAGAAGTAAATCAGACTTTGATCACAGATTAGTGATAAAGAGTAGAGCCTGCACCTGGTACTTTCAAAGGCTCTATGCGTAGCATAATTACCTCCAAGCGCAGTTTTCAAGAATCAAACTCGAGTCTTATTCCCCTTGGCATTCCTTGCCTTGCCAACTGTGCAACGCTTGCGGGTTTGAATGGCTCTTTCACACTTGCACAAAGCAAAGACAGCAACCTTACAACTACTTTATATATATATGTGGCCGCAAGCTTTTATCTTATTAGTAGGTGGGAATATATATATGGTGTCAAATACTCCCTCCCTAAATTAAAGAGTTAAACGTGAATATTGTGGGAGTAATTACGACTCCCTTCATTTCTTCATCTATTGTAGACCATTTGTCTAAATTTCATTTTTTTAAAATTAAATTAGATAAATTTTATTATTAATTAAGTAAACTTATACCACGTATGAACACAATGATTTTTTTAAATGTTTTTTACAATATAAACAAGATGAAATTATTTTATACTCCCTCCGTCCTAAAGCGTTCACTTTCTTTACCTATTTTTCGTTAGTTCTTTGATAATATAGTATATTCTTGTTACCTCTTATTTTGTAGAATTTTGATGTAATTTTTAAATATATAAATTTTATTTTTTAATTTTATACCTACAATCAAATAATTAAATTGAATTGAAAATAAAGTTGATCAAACCTCGTAAACAGAAACGGAAAGAACGTTTTAAGGAGGACAAAAAAACCAAAGCCATCGAAATTAAAAGTTTATTAATACAGGCAGCTAATAACATCAAATTTAATGATACCCGTCAAGCTTGAGTTATGAGCAAATAGTGTTAGCACTACGTAGTTTTCATTCTCAATTTAATTTGCAGGAATTATGACGAAAGTGTTAGTAGTATTATTAGTAGAACTAATTTGATCACACGTGATACCTTCCTTCAAGCCCTAGAGCCGCCGAGATGGAGGCTCACGCAGGGAGAGGTACGGCTGGGAAGGTTTCTAGGGTTTAAGAGAGAGAGAGTTTGAGGGAAAAGAGATCTCTTATTGATTAGCAAAGTTTGAGGACCCGTTGTATATATAGGTAAAAGAGACCCCCGACCTAAAACTACTTTATCTAACCTGTCGGTTCAAGAAAGGCGTCAAGGGAAAGAACCGAAAAGAAAACCCTTGAAGGAGCTTATATTTTGCCGACCTAATAAAATCTAATTACAATAAATGTTTTAATGAATTAAGAAACAATAATAATATTAAACATAGTCGTCATAACGCTTGGGTCGTCGTGTAGTACGACGTGGACGAGTGACCCCCGTAGTTTCCTCTGCAGACTCGTGATCCTCCTCGTGCTCCACAAACGTATCCGTATCAACTCCCCCCGCCTTGGAAACGACCTTGTCCTCAAGGGCGAGTTCTGGAAAATGCCGACGAAGCTCCTGGACAGGCTCCCAGGTGGTATCAGACGTGGAGCCGGTCGACCACTGCACCAGCCATTGCTCTTGGGGAGTGCCATCTACCAAAACGATGCGGCGGCGGACGGCAGATACCGGCGTGAAAATTGGGCGAGTCTTGTAGAAGTCAGCGGGAAGGGATGGTTCGGGAAGCATACTGCCGCGCTGGACGAACGGTCGAAGGAGGGACACATGTACGACATCATGGATGCGGCAGCCTTCGGGAAGTTGCAAACGATAGGCCACGGCCCCGATTCGTTCAATAACCGGAAAGGGACCATAGTAGCGACGAGATAGCTTCTGAGACCCCGGCCGGGCAACCGAGTGTTGCCGATACGGTTGAAGCTTGAGTAAAACCAAATCACCCGGCTGAAAGGTAACGTCGCGACGATGGCGGTTAGCTTGGTCGCGCATCCGGTGTTGCATCTTTGTGAGATTGGTCTTCAAATCCTGTAGTAAATCTGCACGTTCTCGTAACAACTCTTCAACCGCCGGGCTGCGGGACCGAATGGACATTGTAGCAAACAGGTTGGGCGGCTCGCGGCCATATAGGGCCTGAAAGGGAGACATGCCAAGGCCTTCATGGTGGCTGCAATTGAGTGCCAGCTCAGCCCATGGTAAGAAAGCAGCCCACTTGGTCGGACGCTCGAATGTGAAGGCCCGCAAATACTGTTCGAGGCCGCGATTGACGACCTCAGTCTGGCCGTCCGTCTGAGGGTGATAAGCGGTGCTGAATTGGAGCGGGGTATCACTCAAACGCATCAATTCCTTCCAAAAAATACTCATGAAAACCGAGTCTCTGTCGGACACAATCGAAGAAGGGAATCCGTGGTGCTTGACTACCGTATCAAGGAATAAGTGGGCCACCCGAGGGGCGTCATAACCCGTTGGCAAACCACCAAAATGGGCATATTTTGTCAGGCGGTTGACAACAACCAGAATAACTGTGAACCCACGCGCAGAAGGCAGACCCGTGATGAAATCCATGGACACGGCGTCCCAAACGCGGTCTGGAATGGGGAGAGGCTGTAGCAGACCTGCCGGCTTTTGGGTAATGTACTTCGTGGCTTGACAGACTGTACAAGAGGCCACAAAGTCTCGGACAGAGCGGCGCATGTTGGTCCAGTAGAAGACAGCGGCCAACCGGCGGAAAGTGCGCTCCACCCCTTGATGTCCCGCCAAAGGTGTACTATGAAATTCACGCAGGAGTTGCTCACAGATTGGGGAGGATGTGGGAATGTAGATGCGCAATTTGTAGTAGAGGATGCCGTCGTGAATGGAGACGTGTGGTGGCCCAGTCCCCACGCGTACTGCCGCATGAAGGCGCTGAAGAATGGGGCATTCTAGTTGGGCCGTCCGAATGGCTGTGCATAGCTTTGGAATTGGTTGAGCATAAGAAGTGAAAAGTTCCAGTTCATGAGTGTCCTCCTCGCGCCGAGAGAGAGCATCGGCGGCACGGTTCGATGCGCCCGTCTTGTATTCAATGCGGAACTTAAACCCCATCAATTTTCGGATGTAGAATTGTTGCTCTGGTGTTTGGATGACCTGCGAGAGGAGTTCTTTGAGGCTTCGTTGGTCACTCCGGATCACGAATTCTCGACCCAATAAATATTGTCGCCATTTTTGGATTGCCGAAACGATTGCATAAAGTTCCTTGTGATAGGTCGACCCCGAGCGTCGCCGCGGCCCCAATTTCTTGCTAAAGAACGCAAGCGGGTGACCATTCTGTAGGAGTACAGCCCCGATTCCTGTATCACACGCATCTGTCTCCAAGTAGAAAGTTTGTGAAAAATCCGGAAGACGTAAAACGGGTGCCGTGGTCATGGCGTTCTTGAGGTCCTGAAAACTGTCCGCTGCTCCGGCGTCCCACACAAAGGAATCCTTTTTTAACAAGGTGGTGAGTGGTGCGGCGATGATGGCATACCCTTTGATGAACCGACAATAATACCCGGTGAGGCCTAAGAACCCCCGCAACTGAGTCACCGAGCGTGGTGTAGGCCATGCGACCATGGCAGCAACTTTATCTGGGTCAGGCTTAAGAACCCCTGCCGTGATCAAGTGCCCCAGGTACCCAATTGTTTGCTGACAGAAGGAGCATTTGGACAATTTGATGTAGAAGCAGCTGGCAGCCAAAATCTGCAAGACAGTAGTGAGATGAGTTGCATGGGATTCTAGGGAAGGGCTGTAGACAAGGATGTCATCGAAGAACACGATCACAAACTTCCGTAGATATTCCCGGAAAATACTATTCATGGCCGCTTGGAAGGTGGATGGAGCGTTGGTGAGGCCAAAGGGCATGACTAAAAACTCGTAGTGGCCTTCGTGAGTACGGAATGCTGTCTTGAACACGTCCGAAGCATGCATTCGTATTTGATGATACCCGGAGCGGAGGTCCAATTTGGTAAAGAAACGGGCACTACCTAGTTCATCGAAGAGCTCCTCCGCTGTGGGAATCGGAAAGTGGTCAGGTACAGTTGCTGCGTTCAGGGCACGGTAGTCGACGCAAAAGCGGTACGTGCCATCTTTTTTTCGTACCAAGAGGACCGGGGAAGAAAACGGACTGGTGCTATGCCGAATAAGCCCCTGCTCCATCATTTCTTGAACCTGCCGTTCAATTTCTGTCTTTTGAAAATAAGGATAGCGGTACGGGCGAACATTTACCGGCTTACTCCCAGGCTCCAAGTGAATGCAATGATCCCAGGCACGTGGTGGTGGGAGACCCGTAGGAACACTGAAGACCGATGCATGGTTTGTCAACACCTGGCGAATGGTGGTAGGCAGATCTGTAGGGAATGGGGTACTAGCTTCCGTTGTGACAGCGTGTTCCTCATGGTGGGGAATTATCTCATAAAATTCCAGTGGGGAGCCGTGTGTTGTCAAGGCCCATAAATGGGTATAAGAGACTGCCCGAGGAACGTGGCTGTCCCCCCGTAGCGTCACCGTGGCACCATTCCAGACGAACTCCATCGTCAAGTTGGCATAATCATGGCCCACCTTACCCAATGTTTGCAACCATTGTACGCCGAGCACGATGTCCGGGCCATGAATTTCCAAGAGAAAAAGGTCGACATTGAAGACGTGGCCTTGCATGGTGAGAGGAGTCTACGGGCAGGAATAAGAGCAACGCAACGAATCACCGTTGCCCACGTACACCCGAAAGGGAGTCACCGGGTGAAGGACCAAAGTCAGACGCTCTGCCACAGCCGGGTGGATAAAATTGTGCGTGCTACTGCCATCCAAGAGTACCTGAACCGGCGCGCCGTGGACGGATCCCATTAGTTTTAAGGATCGAGGGCTAGGACTCCCCGCCAAGGAATGCATACTCGAGATGTCTGCGGTGATTAATGCCTCGTCGCCAGTGCCGCTGGGCTGGTCGCTGGGTTCCCCATGGTCCTCCTCCTCATCTGGACCCATAAAGACGAGGAACCGGCGCTTGCACTGGTGTCCCGGAATCCAACGCTCATCACAGTACCAACATAGTCCCTTCTTCGATCGCTCCGTTTTCTCCAATGTCGTGATGCGAACAATCGGCAGTTGGGGTGATGGCTGAGTATCCGAAGGGCGAGGATTTGGGTGGGTAGGCCGACTGGGCAGTGGAATGGGGGATGTAGTCCATGTGGATGCCGCAGGTGAGGTGCGGGACGGCCAAACCCGACGTGACGACCCAAAAGAATGGACCTCCTGATGGCATGCTGACAATTCCCTAGCCAAGGCAAACGTAGATTGCAACGTAGTCGGACTCTTCAGTTTAACCTCGCGCTGTACCGGATGTTTGAGACCGGCGATATACATGGCAATAAGGGTTGTCTCCGGCACCCCCGTGACCTTATTGAGGAGCGTCTCGAACGCCGATTGATAATCCATAACGGTGGAAGTCTGCTGCAATTTTGAAAGGAGTCCAATATAATTCTCATAATAGTCGGGGTCGAAACGCTGTTGGACTGCCGTTAAAAAGGCCGGCCAGGAAGCATCACAATTATTAGCTTGATAGTACCGGAACCATTCTGACGCCGGATGATCAATCAACATTGCGACGAGATGAAAACGCTCATCCTCCGGAGTAGAAAAATAATCAAAGTATTTTTGAACGCGGAAAAGCCAACCTGTAGGATCTTCTCCAGAGAACCGTGGAGCGTCAACCCGCATGCGAGGCACCGGGTCAGAGCTAGGGTGAGGTTGAGGCATGCGTAACGGTGGAGGACGCCCGCCCCCAACGGGAGGACGCTGATAGACCCCGGGAACAACGTCCGGCGCAATTTCACTGAGCCGACGCGCCATGGCAGCCTGTTGCGTCCGCGTAGCCTGCAATTCATTCCCAAGATTGGTAATTGCATGCATGAGGTCTTCGAGCTTGAGAGTCGGGGTGTGCACATCGGGTGAAGGAGGAGACGTCGACATTTGAGAACAGCAATGAGAGCACCAATGATACCTTCCTTCAAGCCCTAGAGCCGCCGAGATGGAGGCTCACGCAGGGAGAGGTACGGCTGGGAAGGTTTCTAGGGTTTAAGAGAGAGAGAGAGAGAGAGAGTTTGAGGGAAAAGAGATCTCTTATTGATTAGCAAAGTTTGAGGACCCGTTGTATATATAGGTAAAAGAGACCCCCGACCTAAAACTACTTTATCTAACCTGTCGGTTCAAGAAAGGCGTCAAGGGAAAGAACCGAAAAGAAAACCCTTGAAGGGGCTTATATTTTGCCCACCTAACAAAATCTAATTACAATAAATGTTTTAATGAATTAAGAAACAATAATAATATTAAACATAGTCGTCATAACGCTTGGGTCGTCGTGTAGTACGACGTGGACGAGTGACCCCCGTAGTTTCCTCTGCAGACTCGTGATCCTCCTCGTGCTCCACAAACGTATCCGTATCAACACGCCTTTGTTATTAGTGGTATTATTATACAGTACATTCGCACTTCGATTACTAATGTTATAGTTTACGATCATGTCGAAATTGAAAGAGTATTGGATAAGCATCGTACCGATTTAAGATAATCAAATCAGTACCTAAAATGATGTTACTCGGCATCTTTCATTTTTGTATCACAGGGGGATCTGGATTTACAAACATAAGTTAATTTTCGAGTTTGGATTCAGACAACGTACAAAGTAAATGCTCAACAGAGCACTTGAACCAAGATATTACATTACCTTTAAGAAAAGTGTTGGAAAACAAAAACAATTGGAGTTGGAAACAAGACTAAGAAGAAACATGACAACGAACCATATCTTGTCCTTGGATTCGTAAGACAACACATATTTCATGATATATTAGTTCATGGAAAAAAGTACAGTTTAGTATATTCATATGCTATAAATGCACACCTGCCAGCCTATCTTCGTTTTGACGCTGAATTGATTGGGCCGAGAAGGTGGTTTTGCGCCAATTCCAATAGTTTATTCTAATCGGATCCTCTGTTTCCAAGATCGAACAGATCATTTTACCCAGATTTGGATCTGATGAGTCCGATGAAGATAGATGGTGTACTGCGCTCCTCACTTCGCTGCTGGGCTCATACCCATGACAACAAAGATCCAACAGCATCCTCAAGGCATACACGTGGTTTCCTTGGGAAGTCAAAACCTCCAACACAACTGATGTTACCTGAGAATCCTTTATTAGTGATTTTGAATCGCCTTTATAAAGACCCCGGAGATATCTCCAGGGACTTTCATTATCAGGGTTAGATTTGATGGCTTCCACTGTATATCTCACTTCTGAATCCCTCATTGCTGCTAAGCCTCCAACTAGAAGGGGTGATCTTGTCACCACAAAGTATCTCTGTAATGAAGAGTTTCGATTAATAATTTTAAGTTAATAAAATTTCTTCTTAAAGGCCAAATGCCCATGAACATTGAGCTTGAAGGAGCCTTAGTATCTTGAACCATTTCAGGCAGAGGTAACAAACTAACATTTAATCTAAAGACAGGATTCTGGATTTCTTGATGCACGTTTTCACTCTTTGAAACCCCAAATGAGTAATCAGAATTTCTATTTAACTTGACCAACCCACTTATCAACCTTTTTTTAAAAAAGCACTTATCAATCTTTTAGTTAGTCATACATTTAGTGATGACAATCTAACCTGACCCTGACCCCAAAGTACCTGAATCCAAGCCAACAAACGAATCCCACAATGGGTTGGGGTTGGTTATTGTGCCTAGCCTACCCTTGAACCTGAGTAAGTGTTACACACATAGTTCTTTTGACATCCATTTTGGGTTCCATAATATGACATCAGGATCTCTGTTAGGCTTGAAGTGGAAGTTAGGATTGACTCTCACGTAGTACCTAAGGTAGACAGGTTCCGTTATCTTGGCTCGGTAATCCAGGCGGATGGGGAGTTAGACGGGGATGTTGGACATCGTGTTGGAGTGGCTTGGGCCAAATGGCGGTTGGCCTCAGGGGTGTTGTGTGACCCGAAGATTTCACCCAGGATGAAAGGTAAGTTCTACCGATCCGTAGCCAGACCTGCTATGTTATACGGGGCAGAGTGTTGTGCGGTTAAGAAGACTCATGTGCGTCGTCTGCATGCGGCGGAGATGCGGATGTTACGATGGATGTGTGGGAAGACAAGGTTGGATAGGATTTCGAACGAAGTTATTCGACGTCAGGTAGGCATGGCGCCTGTGGAAGATAAGTTGCGGGAAGCGAGGTTGAGATGGTTTGGGCATGTGAGACGACGGGATGCTGATGCCCCTGTACGGAGGTGCGAGAGGATCACGGTTATCGGGGGAAGTAGGGGAAGGGGTAGACCTAGGAAGAATTGGAAGGAGGTGATTAGACAGGATTTAGGATTTCTCACCCTGACTGAGGATATGGCTTTAGATAGGAACCTTTGGCGGACTAGGATTAAAGTAGCTGGTTAGGAGCTCGGTGCTGCAGAGGTTTTTTGTAGTGTGTTGTGTTTGATTGGAATCTTCTACTTTTGCTTGCTGGACTTTCATTTCATTGTACTTGGTGCTTTATCCTGTTATATCCTGTTGCCCTGTTATATTGTGTTCCCTACCATATTTTTTGTGCAGGTTGAGCCGGGGGTCTCTTGGAAACAGCCTCCCTACTTCCGAGTAGGGGCAAGGTCTGCGTACACACACCCTCCCCAGGCCCTACTGTAGTGGGATTCAACTGGGCTGTTGTTGTTGTTGTTGATCTCTGTTGGGCTTGAGACCAAGTCTTGCCTCTCTAAACCCACCCCAGCCCTCCCACCCATGAATATCGCCAAAGTGGCACAATTTTGGCAAAATGTGGGGTTTATGGGATGGGTTTAGAGGGTAGGACCAGGTCCCGAGTCCCCCAAATGGGGTGTCAAAAGAAAGACTCGTATTGTATTATATTTTTACTATGTTAGCCATAAGAGTTTTATTAAACGGGGAAAAAATCATACCATTACTCCCTGATTATTGCGAGTTTACACAATTACTCCCAGATTCAGTAAATGATACTACTGTTCTCAGAATTTTTATATATTTACATGAGTGCTCCCAAAATTGGTATATTTTTATATTAGTGCTCCAAGGTCAAACAAGTGGTCCAAATGTCCAATCAACATTGGAGCATCTGATATAAATATATAAAAATTCTAGGAACAACGGTGGCATTTATTGAATGTGAGAGTAATTATGAAAAATTGTGCATTCCTGGGAGTAATGGTATGAAATTTTCCTTATTTAAAAACAAAAATTTAGTAAGTTTTAATTTAAAGAGTTACTGTTCGGGTTTGGCTAGATTCGAATGGCCAGGTGGAGGGGTCTGGAATGTAAAAATGACAAATTCTGGGAGTAATGGTATGAACTTTTCCTTATTAAAAACAAAAATTTAGTAAGTTTTATAATAAAAAAATACTGGTCAGGTTCAGTTAGATTCGAATGGTCAGGTGGAGGGGTCTGGTTTGGGTAGAATGTCAAACCTGAAACACTAAGTTGGGTTGGGCTTGGATATAGGAAACCCCGACCCTTTTCCATTTAGCCACCCACTTCAGATTCTAATAGATGGATCATGCAAGCTTATTTATTATCCATATTCTATTCTGGAACAATGTGCTCTAAATTTTATGATGCCCAATGTGCCATCTTCCAGTTAATATAATAAAAGTCAACACACCTCTGCTCGCCAACCAGATTTAAATTTAAAAGAGAAATCAATGCAAAAAATAAACTGACATATGACATATGTAAAACTTAAACGAGGGAAAAAGGAGGAAGCATGATGTGTTGTGCATAATTTGGAATCACCACTGAGTTATCAAAGCAACATAAATAAATCAAGATCTATCTATACCTGATTCCAGGCTGAATTGTTGCAAATATCTTCTTCTAGTAATTGATGACAATAAGAGAGTTCATCTTCCCACCCTCCAAGTGCCTGAAGAACCCACTGCATTTGATAGTAATTTTCATTACTATAGTTTCCTAAATAAATTAATGATATATTCCATATAATATGTTCCTCCACATAGAAAGCCAACATAAAAACATGAATAGTGAAATGGCTACCATTGAGCATCGAAGTTAAGTAAAACCTATTACCTGCCTATGAGACCATGCATGATAATTTTTTGCATCCTTGCAGAAAATTTGCTTGGTGAACTCAAGCTCCCTATGCAGAGCACCCTTTCCTACTTTTTCAGCAACCCATCTTCTGTGGTGCCTAAGTGGCACGAAAATTGTAAAGGAACAATTTTTTAAAATTAATATAGGATTACACAAGAGGGGAGGAAGCTATAATAAAGAATAAGACGTTTAAGATGAAAAGCTAGACACCACAAAGAGTGACAGATAATGTAAGTGAAGTGTTAAGATTTATGTTACTTGCATCTTATTCTTTATGTTTTCAATTGCCGCATAAATATATGTTGATTGTTGACAGTGATTCAGTAGATTAGAATTGTTAGTTTCTAATGCCCTATTTCGTATATATGCAATAGCAACTCTGGCAAACAATGGAATAGATTGAAAAATGAAGATAACAAGTAACTAATTTCAGAGAAATACAATTTCGAAAAACAAAAAAAACCATCAAACACAACAAAACCTATTATATTCCCAAACTGCACTGGGGCCTTACCTCTGTAAAAAAACAGAGGTATTGTTTGACCCTTGATGCATTGCTGCAGTTACTTCCCAAAACTTCATAAAAAGTAAGAAAAGAAGAATGTTTAATGTGTCCTTTTGGTTTAGTCCATTATTTACGCGAAGCTAAAACATAGTCAATAGTGCAATGGAATTTCACAAGGTGCTTGAGATTCTCAGTTTTGAAGATGGTGCCAAAATAAATTCCAATCCACTAAAATTTCACTTCGGAGACATTCAAATGACAGAAGATTTAATACCATATTTGATAGTTTTTAGGGTTGGCTTTGGCGATAAGATCAACAAAGTCTAACTCTTCCTTCAAATCAGCCTCCAATGCCTCGAGTACCACACGCCTAAATTGCCAAATCTATGATTAAAATTTGAGGGGAAAAGCCAAAAGTCAACCAAACATGGGCCATAAACAGATCATATCTAAATATATATAGAGCAAATCACTATGCACAATCAAACGAAGATCTTCATATGATGCCATGCTTCATGAGTTGTACTTACAGTATAATTCCCGGGGTTAAGTGCGATGGCTTCGGCAGTGAGATGAAGAGCGCGGGGAGATCGCTCTCCGGCAAGGTAGACTGCGCGGAAGTAGTCCATGGCATCGGAGAAGTCGTCGGAGTAAGCTATGGGGACCACGGGGCGAGGACCGTCGTCTTGCGGCACCGGCCTTACGTCTGCCCATTCGCGTCTGTCCTTGAAGGGGATTCGCTTCATCTTGTCTTCTCCACCTGAATCCATCTGTTCTAAACCTCGTGTGATCGGAATTTTTAGTTCCGGCGACAGCGCAGTCGTTCAGTCTAAGATGTCAGCAAAGAATAAAAAGAAAACTGGGCTGCCTTTGAAAAGTGAAAGTAATGTTACAGGCCAAAAAAAGGCAAACTGGGATTAGTGCGTGCTTATTTTATACACCCATTGATATCACAAAAAAAGGATTTTATGAAAAAAAAGATTAATTTGTCGCTTCATAAAAAGTGTATGAAGGTACATATTTTATATATGAACCTTACAACGATGAAATAACAACTCCAAAACTACACATACCACATTGTTCCAAATATAGCTCTGAATTTTCAAGCAGTTCTAGTGAATTACTCTGTATATTTCGAATAGAATTGTTTCGTTTTAAATATGATACGAGAAAGACTTTTAAAAAATGAAAATTGAAAATTTCAAAATCAGACCATTGTTATTTAAATGTTAAACTATTTAAGTATTGATATGTATAAACGACTATCTATAAATAAAAAATAAATATATATTTATACATTTATTATTTATCAATATTTTTAAATATTTTTTTTGTATTGACTTTAACTTACATAATCTTGATTTTTTAAATTAAGAATAATATAAGCTCAATGTTCGTATGGTTTAACTAAAAAAATCATCCCGGATAAATACACATTGTTGATTATACATTAGCACACAAATTTGTTATTCAATATTTTTAAAAGTCCTTTGTACATATTGCATATGCAGTTCTCAATTGAACTTTTAAAACACTACGTTATAATTTGGCATTGATACATTATATAGCCGTGCAATTGGAGTGAAATGGCACTACATGATTTTGGTTATAAAATGAAACCATACCGAACCATTTGAATAATAGTAGTACTACGATACAACTTCTATGAAAATTACAATCTTTCACGAGTTGTGCCTACTCTTAAATGTTGTTGGCTAATGGGTGCCCTTTTAAACTATGGAGTACGTAATACGGAGTAAATTATTCATTTCTAGAATTTTTTAATCATTACTCAATATAATTTTCATTTCTTTTAACTTCCTAGAGCCAGTTAAGACAAAAATAAGTTTAAAATTACATTACCAAACTTTTTTGTCAAAAATATCGCTCATTAAAATCTTTACCATTATGACTTTTTACATTCATTAAAAAATAAATAAAAAATAGACACGATATATGTCCACGTCCATACACTTTTTAATATGGAGTACATATAAAAAATCATAATGGTCAGTTAAAACTTTTAGTATTTAAGAAGGAAGTACAAAATAATTTGTTTAATAAACAAGGGCTAAAATTCATGTGATGACACATGCCCATATTGTGAGAAATTTAGAGAGCACAAAGCTACACTTTACAAGGGCATATCCCATGTCCCAAAAATACTACCTACAATATCATTTCCCCATGTCTACCCTCTAGATGTTGCCACATGGCACAACAATAAAATAAGGCCACATTTTTAAAGAGTATAAATCGGGCAAAGGGTAGCATTTTTAGGACAGGGGATAGCATACCATAGTTTATAAGAATATAAAACCAGTTGCTGTTCCATATTCTTTTCATCTTTTTAAAATAATAATAACAATAATAATAATAATACAAGTAGCTGTAAATTATTATGAATTTTAAATGTTCTACAGGACTGTGACTGGCATTCTGGTGGTATGTGAGGATTCATGAACCTTATAAAAGACTACTGGATTTGTTCCAAATCTCTCCTCATTTTTTTCTCATTTGAAAAAGAACTTCCAAATCTCTCTGTCCGTTAGCTCTGTCACCAAATGAGCCCCGAAAATGCCTTCTTCGTCTACCAGGCTTCGCAGTTGCCGTGCAGCACTGTTGAAGCCTACGTAGTTTCTCTTCGTTGCCAGGTATATCACTCCATAGGGAGGTTTTAGGCACTGCTCAGAGGAAAAAAAACAGGAAAAAAGGGGCACTCCAAACATCAGTAAATTTACATGAAAAGAGTGTATGAGAAATATGATCAGTTCTAGACAGACTGTAAAGCGAAATGCAGATCCAACATGTCCGCCAGTACATGAAAAGTGGAAAAAAAATTGGGGCGACCTAAATAGGAAAGTAGGAAGATAACTATAAGCAAGTCCTAAATGATAATTTAATTACGCCAAAAAACTTGAAGATATACATAATACTCTTTGACTGTTGATAGTCCTACTGTGCCAAAATTAAAATGTTGTACTCTAACCAAATACACCCACACACAACTTTTTTTTTTGGAACACATGGAGTAGAAGGCAGTCCATAAATTGTAAAAACGGCTTATATGGGCAAATGGGAGGAACTTCAATGATTCAAAGAACAATGAGCACTCATTTGCTATAATAGTGTTTGGCCAGAACACTGAGTGCTCAATGTTCATGGATCAATGAAGTTTCGCTGGGTCAAGTGTGACACATAAAACAACAAGTTCATCTGGTCAAATATGACGATTGACGAATAAGTCTAGACTGCATTAACATTTTCAGTTCCAGCGATGTTCAAACAAACACAGTAGAAAAGCTGCTTAAAGAAAGAAAGGAGAAAAAGGCTACCTTTTTAATCAATAAATATAGCTTCTTCAAAGAAGCCAATGAATAGGGAATCTCAGTCATCAAAATGACATCATACCCACCTCCTTGATCTGCATCACTGGCTCTTTCCCATGCCCTGCTCCCAGACAGTTTCCTAGAACGCCTCGAGGAAGAAGATTCATTGAGCAAGATGCTTCCATCTTGGCTACTACAACCATCCATTAAATCTTCCTCAGACAAGCTTAGGCTCATCCCTCTTGGCATCTCACACCCATCGTTCCCAACAACAGACAACACAGTTGGCAGTTCCTCCCATTCCCCAGCATAGAAGTTCACTGTTGGAGAAATAGTCTGCCTTGAAGGAGTCAGGGGGCTCTCTGGTTGACGGCACTGCCGTTCCCGAGCTTCCTCAAGATTCACCAAAACATTTGGGATTGTGGTGCATCTTATACCCTCCGCATTCCGGTCCTGAAAATGTACGGTTGAAGCTCCCTGAAAAATTTAGTTTAAAGCCACAATTATAATAAATGAATAAATAAATGAATTGTCCTATGAAGCCAATTATCTTGCGTTATTCAAACAAGTTTAGAAAATTCTTTCTTTTTTCCTTTTCTTTAGATGGGGTAACGAAATCCATCCAGAAAGTGCAGTGCATTCCAAATGCTGCATTTCAGGTTTCAGCCACGTGATGTGTATTCAAAATATGTATCAATTAAATGGTCGTTTAGATTACTGTTGGATTATTCTATGAGAGGTCAAATTTCAGCACAGTCACAGTTTATTGGACATCAAAAGTGTAACTAATTAGGCAATCGTAAAATATTGAATTTTCCTGCACCTTAATCCAATTAAGTGGCAGTGATAAAAACCATCACTGGCTGTTTAGAGCTATGTATACATAGTTTGATGATTTAAGTAATAGATTTATTACACACATCTCATTGTGCATACCATATAGAACTATATTGAATTACCCTGCACCTAAATAAATTCTTTTGAGGTTGACAACCTGAAGCTTTTTAGCACCAATTAATTGTCTAAAATTAGTTATAACACTATAAGCTCATGCATAAAGAAGTGCCAAACTTTTCCACATGATGTCCTTCCAGTGGCAACCTTCTCGCAAAAGAATCATGAGAGGAAATTTCAATATCGTGATCACCATAAATTCTTTTCCACTTGAAAACAAAAGTTGTGAGATGGTTATGAGTTGAGATAATTGTTGAGGTCATGTCTCAACTCTCAACATAACACTGATATTTTAAAAACAGAATGAAAACAAAAGACAAGCAAAACCCTCCAATGTTAGAAAAATAAAATACTCTTTCGGTCCCATACTACGGTTATCAAAAGATATGGGCGCACGTCTTAAGACACTAAAAAATGCGTGATTAAGATTCATTTGAAAAAGTTAAAAAGAATATCACCCACACAATTGTCCTATTCTACATTTGTGTTAAAATAGGACCAATACTCCGTATATTCTATCTGTCATGTTTGTTTCTCCTTCCCCGGACCCCACTTGTGGGATTTCAGCAGGTTGTATGTTTGTTCAGTTCTCCTTCTCATTTTTCAATCTTTTGACAGTATAAACATCATGATTAAATATACTGTTCATTGTGGTAACAAAGATAGAGGGCAGCAAATACATATAGTACATAGTTTGAGTATTACCTTTAAGCAAGCAAATATTCCAGGAAGCCCATATCCACAGCTAAGCTGGAGAAAGAAAAATAGTAGAGTAAGATCATTATATTCTACTACCTCCGTCCCAGTGTATTTGTCCAGTTTGACTTTTTCTGAACAAACTTTGAACTCCAATTACTCTCAATTTATATTGCATATTAGTATAATGAAATACAATTTTGAAAGTTCTCAATACGATAAACCTAATAAAGTCATTTTTATGTTAAAATACATTATGGTTTTTATTTAATTGAAGCTCAAAGTTTGTTCAGTTTGACTCGAAAAAGTCAAACTGGACAAATACCCTGGGACGGAGGGAGTAGTATTCTACCATAGGTAGAGAGTGTAGCTAGCAACAAATCAACAATACAATGTTCAGTAGAGAAATTAAATAGAGCGTAGATGACAAAGCTACCAGTTCACACAAGGTATGGACTGAGGTAGTGACATGCATAGTGCTTCATTCATCCATGTAAAATAATAAAATATAAAATAATCTCAATCAAACTTCAAACAGAACAAGTAGCAGTGAGCAGTTAACGGATTTGCAGTTGAATGTTTTTGGAACATAAACGTAACCTAGTGGAGTCCACTATACATTAAATGTACTTTGTGGTCGTCTCTTCTCTATTAGCACTCAAATGTCCATGTTTCAGTAATTTCTAGGATGTTGGTTGGTTAGCCCTTGGCACTTTCAACTCCAATCAAGAAGTCATACAGTCCTGCATATACGAAGTAACTTTTTTCTAATGCCTTTAGTGTTGTTGTGGGCGCTTTCAGCCCCAAGGGTCATGCACTTGTTAGATGGTCATTTTTAACATAGCCTTTCCACCGCCGCTATAGTCCAAAAGTGTCTCATCCTTGTTCGTTTTAATTTCATGTAAGGAGAAATGCTTTCTTTTCTTTGAAGTTTGAATTTAAGATGTTCAGGTTTGACATGAAGTTTTGAAATATAGGAAACCCTAGAACACGGCCCTAGTTCACATTAACACTCATATTTATTGGCATAATGCAACATCCCTCTAGGATAAAAAGAAAGACAAACAATTTGGAACAAGCTAGTAAAAAGTGATTATAAAGTTAAACTATGCATCTCCAATTACATCTGCTAAGTGAAAGTACCTCAATCACCCTTTTCCCCCTGAAACTCAGCTGCCCATCCCTGATCTCGTGCTTGAGAACATTAACGAGATCAAGGGAACCATCCCAAGACTTCAGATATCCTGCATTGTAAAAAGAACTAAGATGGTAAAATTCGAAGCTCTCCATATCATGACACAACAACCAGTCACAGAATAATAATATACTCCGTAATATTTAAAATGTGGCGTAGAATCCCACGAAAGTAAGGGTGTGTGACTGTGTACGCAGACCTTACCCCTACTTGAAAGTAGAGAGGCTGTAATGTTCAAAATGTAGCAGTTGAAAATAAATGAATGCCAATTATCCTTGACGTTAGGCCTTTGAAGTGAAGATGTAAGGTGATGTACCATGTACATACCATCTAGTTTTGAGGATATCATTTCTGAGCCAGTAAATCCAATTATATCAGCAACACTTATTCTACCCTACAGGTTAAAGAATAAAACAGATTTAAGCATGAAACTTTAATGACTTAATGCAGCAAAATCTATAAAGAAGAATAGAAGATATCATAGCTTCAATGAAATAGAAACTCTCAGGGTGAAAACATGTAATCCCTACCCTTGTTTCTAAAACATATCTAAGCACCATTCTCAAAATGACTACAAAAACTCTTCTCCAGTGTGGGATACATGGGAGTTGAGCAATACTTAAAATGATTCATAAAGTCAGATGATAGAGTATTTTCCATTAAAAAATTTGAATGTTGAACGCCTTAATATTGATGTGTATAACAGGCTCTGCTTTCAAAATATGCACAAGTGTACAAAAACATATGCTAATAACATCAAAGTTCAGGGAAAATATACTCCCTTCATCCCTTTTTATATCTTCATTCTTTCTTTTTTGCCCGATCCCAGAATATCCCTTCTTTTCTTTTGAGGATTATGCGGTTCATCATTCATATTATTTCTCTCGTGTCATCCCTTTTTCACTTTCTTAGAAGTTAGAACATATGCAATGTAAAGAAAAATAAAAGAATGAAGGTAGTAATTTCCACAATGTGTAGCACCTCTCCAGTAGCTACATACAAATTCACTAAGTATAAGAAGTTTCGGCGACCAAAAATGTATATACTATGGGTGTACAAGAAAACACAAAAGCTTGAAAAACCAAGTTCCCCGTAACCGGAGAAACTTTTAAGCCAGGGAAAAAAATCATAGCAAAAGCATGGTTTTCAACCATTTTTTGATTAAAAATGGCATCCACTTTCTTTGAATATATAAGTGTTGAAACATCATTATGTAGTTGTGAACTTGTGATTAAGGTGCTAATGACGAGAACATGTCATTATGTCAAGTTGTGGGATTAGTAATCTATATAGTTTTATGGATGCAATGGCGTATGCTTTAATCTTTATCTATCTTGTTGACTTGTGTAGGTCATAGACCCTATTTATATCTTATATTATGAACTTATGGTGTGATGTTTTGGATTTTGGACTTAATTTAGACAGCCCCAAGCCAATTACATAACTTGTGTAGGTCATAGACCCTAACTGACCATACATAGCCAAGCCAATTAGTTTTCATGCAGTGGTCAGTTTTTTAGGCAAACTTCACACCACCCTTAAAAAGGCTTGGCGATTATATATTTAAACAACAGCCCAACTCAACCACTTCACCCCCTAAAAATAACGTGTATATTGAGATGATAAACTGACATTTAAAAGAACTAACAAAAGCAGGTCCAAAGAATGATATGAACTAGGACTTAATACTGCCAGTACCTTGGCTATATTGATTCCTTGAAGGTCTACATTCTCGCCGGCATATGTACAGGGAGCAGCCTGCACAAAACATAAATCTGCAATTCAATATGAAATTACACATATAGACAGAAGTCATTACAGAGGACTCTAGGACTTCATATACTAAATTTCAACTACAGATTGAGACACTTGAAATAAATATTTTCCAATATTATTTTTAACACGTGCAAATGGCACTCACTTTTGAAGGAACAACTTCTACAGCGGGCGAAGGAAGATGGCCATCTCGGTCAGATATTACTGGCATGTGACACCCCTTGTCTGCTGATGACAAACCACTCAAGCACTGTGCAAGAATGGATGGTGCACGCATCTTCGTTGGCAATGAGATATCTCACGAACCCAGAAAGGATGGATCTGTAAATGAAAAGATTCAGATGATTGATGGTTATCGCAATAAATAGCATGACAGAATGGCAGCATGAAAAATCATTTTGTAATATTTACTTCAAGATGTCTACGTATTACAGTAAATATGAAATCCCGAGAAGATGTAATCCATACAGAGGTCATTTGCAAGGAAATATAAAGGGCTATATGGAGTGTGTGATAAAACAAAGAAATTATTTTGTTCTATGTCAGCGCTGGTGGTCAAACCAATGAGCCAGCCACCGGGGGAAAAAACAACAGAAAAATCTTATACTAGGTGAACAAGCATGCAAGGTAACCTATGCCCCTCATTCGGATTTTCTAATGCTGTAAAAAATTTGCAGTAACATGATAGGAAGAAAAAGAATTCCAACCCCTACCCCCATTCACACATATATATGCTCTAATTTGACATTGGACATTATATCTCTAGCTGAATATCTGCATTTGTGCACTGGAAAAATCCATTGCTAACAGTTCAACAGCCAATACAAGTAGTCAAGCAAGCTAACATGCCAATCAAACAGCAAAGAAGATCCTCATATTCAGACAGATCCTAAAAAAAATCATGATAAAGCACACGAAAAACAAATGGAGCAACAATCAATTATAACAATTTAATCTTATAACAAGGGGAAATCGATGAAAGAACAAGCAAATACAGCATCAAACTGGTCACACTACGATAAAACGAAAATCAATTAATGAAATTGAAGCCAAAAAAAGGTCAGCACGATACCAGAGTGATCGAATACTGGGGAGTATGTGAACGGAAAAACCTAAAATTCAACTGGAAATCAGGGTTCAATTGGTAGGTTTAATGCGAATAGAAGACGAAGAAGAAGAAGAAAGATTTGGCGAGGGAAATGATCACTTTCAGGGAAAGTCCCATGAGATTTTTTCTTTTTTTTTGCGTATATTGGGATGGTGACGGAGTCGTCGTCCAGCCCAGAGCGGAAGAAGAAGAGAAGAAAACGAGCGCCTAACGGAAGCTTCGGGTTTTCAGACGGCGGAAGGACAGATTTGCCGGTGGTGGTTGCCAAAATTACAATTGTGACACGAATGGGTGTCGAGTAGAGAGGCTTTCGTCGTCTCTTTCTTTGTCCCACACCGCTCGCACGTGTGCCGACAACATGACAAGGTGAGGCAAATATTTGCTTTTATAAATTAGTCAAAATTTTTTATAAATTATTTTTAAATTATAAGTAATCTAAAATCTATATATTTATTTTTCTATGTTTATAAATTAATTTATAAGTAAAAAAAAGTAGGACTTATTCTTAAATTAATTTTTTTCATTTCTCTGTTTTGACAAGATGATTTACAAATTTATCCATCGTTTTTTATGAGTATATTGAAATTACATATCTCTGATTTAAGTCATTTATTTCAACGAAAAATAACTTAAAAGTTAAAAACAAGCAGTAATAAGTCAATAAACACAAGTATAGAGAAGGACCTTATAGATTCTCGTACTAGAACACACTTTTCAACTTTCGTTAGCATTTTTTATAATTTTTTTATTAAAGATGTGATTTTTTATTTTGGATAAACATTTTTATAATTTTTTTATTAAAGATGCAGTCAAATTGAACAAACTTTGATTATCAACTAAATAAATATTATATTGCATATTAAAAATTAAATTGAAATTTTGGAAAAAAATTAAGATAAATTTAAATAAATCATTTTTAATATCATTAAATATAAATTTTATTTAATTGATGATCAAAATTAATCTAGTTTAACTGCAAAATTCATACAAAACAAATATTGAAATGGGGGTAATAAGTGAGAAATATTTTTGGGATAAGGTAGTATATATTTTAAAAAAATGAATTTCTATTCATATTTTTGAAATGCCCATGAACTATTGATTTCAATAAAACTTCTAATTTTTTAGAAAAAGAAAACACAATTATATAGTATAATTGTTTTATAAACTTTTAAAAATAGTTCAAAATAAATAAATAAAAACTATTTATTTTTTTATCTAAAATAAATATGAATACTTGTGTCAAAGAACTTATTGTCATCAATAAAAATAAAGAAATATTTTTAAATATAATTTAATTAGTCAGGGTTAATGACCTTTTTTCCGATCTCGTGCCAGGCCAATAGAATTTTCGGGAGAGGCCGTGGCATGTTCAATACATAGTAGGGACATTTGATTGGACGTGTGCGTTCATTTGGCACCATACCAAGCACCCCCCAAAAGGATTCAGTCAAACTCTCTATAAAAGCTTCATTTGTCTAAAATCTTTTTCTTCATTTGTCAAAAATCTTTTTGGGAGTTATAGTTGCACGATTGTTATATATGCCTATAAACAACATATGTTGTTATTATACGGAATCATACGCATACAACATGATGGTGGCATAAATAGAAATGGGCAAAAGCTCTTCTTTCACTTTTTCTTTAATTGTACATGTATTTTCTTGAGTTAATGGGAAAAAAATTTGACAATTGTAGCTTGTTTTCCAGAGATTCTAACTTCTTGGCACGATGATAAAATGTTTAAACTTGTGATTCATTTTTTTGTGCCCTAAGCAGTAAATATGGAATATTAAAGAGTCTTTGTCATTTTCAAAAAGTCAAGTCTTAAGTTTTGGGTACAAACTACAAGTATAGATGATGACTGTTATAGAAAAATTTGACAGAAATTGCAATTTTACCTAACCAACAGGAGACTTCTTCCTCTTCTTGCCTGGTGACCACCTGTCATGATGATGTGATGGGGACCTGTGCACAGAACGAAGTTCGTCCCTGTGAATCGAGCTCTCAACAGACGAGCGGTCATGAAGAGGGGACCGCTGGCTGCTATGCCGACTTTGGTTACGGTGATGGAGAGAGGGGCGCTCTTCCCTGTCCCTTGAACTCCTCCTCCCTTCAGAAGACAAATCAGGGCTGGAGGATCTTCTTCCTCTCCTGCGGCGCTTTTGGTTCTTCTGAGATGTGTCTTCTATGCTTGTGGAATGCTTGTGTCTGCTGGAATCATGTTCCTGATTGGGTGGCATCTCGTGCTGATGAACCCTCTTGTTCTGTTTGTAGCTGTGAAGGGGGGAATCTTCGCTGTCTCCAGAGATCCTTTCTCTTCTAGGTGGTGATGGATCCTGCATAAATTTAGGGTATGATTGAATCCCAGACAATGCTATTAGGTAATGTTTGGCTAGACCACGCTTTTGTGGTGGGATCATTTCCAGGACCCTTGCTCAGCGCAATGCTTGCACTGGGATGGCCGTTATATCATTATTCATTTTTAAAAGGGTTGTGATATGAAAGGCATCCCATCTGGTGTACAAAATTTTTACTATGATTTTGCATAAATTGGCGGTGTTCGGTAATATTTGGAAACTAGTTGACAGTTTGACTGTATAAGTTCCATGCCACCAACCCCAACATAGTTGGGAATAAGTTGATGAAGAAGAACAAAATGTAATGAAAATAAGGAATTTGAAGTTCATACTTAAGGCAGCTGCAATTAACCAATGTTATCACACGAAACAATTAAAAGTTAATTTTGATGACCAATAAAAGAAAAAGGGAAACAAATTTAGTGCTTCCATTCACAATGTAAGAGTAAAAAACAACTGCCTTGCAATTCTTAAGCGAAGTTAATTAGATCATTGCCAGATAGAAACTGCAATCTTTTTTTTTTTTGAACTATCAAAATTCTCATTCATGGTCTATTTGGAAAGGGGCATTTGGTTTGTAAGTAAGAAATTTGCCCAATTTCCTTGTTTGGCAAGTTGTAGAATTTGAATTTGGAATGGAGTCTAATCCATATCCTGTTTTGACAAGGTGCAAAGTCTGGATTTCTAAATGGCTTTAAAAACCCAAGACATTTGCAAATTTATAGTTCTCGAGGCTTGCCAAGCATGTTTTGGATCTGAAATTCTAGAGTTTAGAATTCTATGTGATTGCTAAACAAAGAAACGGAATTCTAAATACATGATTTTACAATGATATTAACAATATGTATTTCAAAAGAAATCACCTTATCCAAACACCTTAAGGAAATGTGTACCTGAAAGCGGGACATGTATCGTCCCTCTGGTGGAGGCTGTATTCCTAGCCTTTTCAGGTCATCATAGGGAATCTGTCGCCTATTTGAAAGGAAACACTGGATGAAGTTCGTACGAGAGCAATTGTCATTGCAATAAAATTAATAAACTAACATCTAATTGTATCCACTAGAAGGTAAACTTCATACTCTATCATTGCATTATTGACCACAGCATGAACATAAAAAAAAGGGAACATCATTATAAAGAAAAACAAACATAAAAATAGAGATTGTTCACCCAGCAACTGTGAGAATCAGTGAAGGTGTGTGCTAAGTTGCTAACGATTACAATTCACAATTAAACACACTATCAGACCATCAACACCCCCCTCAATTATTTATTTTTTTATAATATTCATTGCAGAGTTTCAATGTGTACTCCATAAGTTTTTTTGTTACTTCTCCATGTGCGTGATTTATGACAATCAAACCCCTGTCAAGAAACCAACTCAACCAAAAGCTCAAGCTTGTGATTGTGGCACAAGAAGGTTTTTGTATATACTCTAACACGCCCTCTCACGTGCAGGCGTGACTTCTTTAAGCCTTGCGCGTGAAACCTTAATTTTTTTAAAACTGGGTGGTGGTGAGTTTCGAACTCGTGACCTCTTGGTCATCAAGGCTCTAATACCATGTCAAGAAACCAACTCAACGGTCCGTCTCAACCAAAAGTTCAACCTTGTGATTGTGGCTCAGGAAGGTTTTTATATATACTCTAACACCCTTAATGTGTGGAAATCAGATCTCTCTATGAATGCATCATATTATACCAAGCTTGTCATCATAATAATAGAAATGAATCCTTAGAAAAGAGTGAAAAGATCAAGACATACAATGGGGCACGAAATGGCCTCTCACGGCCTCCAAATCGAAGTTGTCCAGATTCTTTTTTGCCACCAAGTCCACCTCCTATCAAACAAGCTTGCCTCAAGAAGTAACTCGCCTCAGATTAGGGCTACAAGTGAAATGAAAATTAGACTAACCTAGCCTTCTTGGAATCCATCCTGGCATCAATCGCTGCCTATTGTAATCAACTATGATTTCAGAATCATCGACGATCTTGTGGTGTGCATCCTAAAGAAAAATTTAAATTAAAGATCATGAAAAGTATAAAAGTTTACTCCACGACGTAAAACAAGCAACAAATTCGGGAATGATCTAAGCACATGATAATTTAGCAGATAGAATGATAGATATGGCTCATCGAACTAATTTTTCTAAATTATTTTTTTTTGGGACAACCCAAATAAGAAATTGAGTTTATTTTGGGAGAGAGGGAGTATAAAACTAACAGCACCAATGAAAGGAAAAGGTATGGTAAGATTCTAGGACACACATTGGAATATTATTAGCAAAAAGAATGTTAAGATAAGAGGGAATTTCCTACTTATGAAGAGGGACATTTGGTTTGATTTTTATTATATAACCTATGTTTAGTGAATAAGGTTATAATCTCTGTCTTGAATTCTAACACTTTGACTTCATGAAGTTTAAAAAAATGTTGAAAAATAAAAAGTGTGGTTAAAATTTGCTTAGAAGAAGGAGAAGAGTAGTGGACCACATATTATTTAGCTTAGTATAAAAGTAAAGAAGTGTGAAGATTATTTTGGGACAACCCAAAAAGGAAAGTGTGGAGATTTTTTTGGGACAACCCAATCAGCACATTTGTTCGATTAATCCATACTCTAAATAAAACCTTCATCAAACAAATTAGTAATGCACTACCATATTTCAGCCAAAAACACATATGGCAACCTCACATTCCCTTAACATAGACACTTATATAATCTAAGGTCGTATAAAAAATCTTGTACCAAACAAGCCCCTTCTTAAAAAAATCAAACAGAAATATTTCTCCAAGAAGCCAATATTAATCCATCACTCAGAACTCTAAAGATGACAAAATTAGAACGTTGGAAAATGATTTAATCCACTTAATTTAGACATATAGATTGAGACAGAGATAAATAAAGACAAGGCATGCAGAGAAAATGATAGAAGCACAATGTACTGACAAGGAAGCAAATCTATCTTTAAACCTTCACTTTATAAGTTAATCAGGCAAATTCCTGAGAGAGAAAAGATGTGATCTTGTGAGTCCAACCTGAATAGCCTATCAGTGTGACCATTCATTCAAAGAAAAGCATTACCTTGTATGCCCGACGCATCTCACGATCTGTTTCAAATTCAACAAAGGCATAACCACATGAAGCACCTGTTACTGCAAAATTACCAACATTAAAGTTGGTGATGATAGCATTATATAGGAACAATTGTTACCAAGATGTCAAGAAATACCAGGTTATCGATTCATTATGTTATACCTCAGTAAAGCTGTCTACTTATCCCTAAAAATAGTAACAAGAATTGCATGATTAAATCCTCAACCAATGGATGCATACTTGACTTAAAGAAATAGTACTTGAAATAATATTTTATTCATAACTATAAATCTGACCTATCCAATTGACGACCACAACACCATGTCACGTTCTTTGCTTATTTTTACTCCGCCCCTAAAAGAAAGGCACTCTTTCCTTTTGTGTCTATCCCAAAGTAAAGTTCACAATTCTCACATTTTTCAAGGAAAAGATAATGTGGCTCACAAAATTTCTCTCTTTTAAATAAACTTTAACCCCTTTTTTGTGGCTTTTCAACACTTTTTTTAAACTTTGTGGAGTCAAAGTGTGACTTTGTCTTAAGGACGGAGGGAGTAGAAGCTTATACCTATAACGTAGTATATTTTTAATCGGGCATTCAACCTATATTAGTATCATTTTCAAGATATCAATATCAATAAAAACCATTATTCTCCGGAGTATTACTTTTTTTTCTTGCGGAATATTGAGAAGAGTTTTTCACTAGAAACCTGCATCAATGAATTTTCTCGTTAATTCCTGCTCATGATTCATCATTCTAATATAAGCAGATTCCACATTCTACAATGAGATCAAGCTCACGAGTCGGACAAGGGGCAAGTAATAACACTCTGTAACAATAGTATACGAGCAAAGGACTAAGTGGTTTGACTTAGAGTGTAAAGGAATCACGCAGAGCACAAAGAAGCAAGACATTACCAATGTGTCTGACTAATCTCAAGTTCTTCACCCTTCCATATCTGCTCATCACCTGGAAATTCAAACAGAAATTTGGCTGTTAATTCTTCAAACACAAGTTACAAGTTATTATTACTCGGAAATAGGGCAAAAAAATGGCGGGAGCAGTGAGGAGGAACCGGGTGGCACCTCGCGAAGCGTGTCTTCGGTGGTGAAGCGAGAGAGGCGGCCCACGAAGAGAGTGCAGTAAGGATCGCCGCGAGCTTTGGGGTCTCCGAAAGGATCATCTAC